CTCTCACTCTCTCTACACTTCCAAAAAGGAAATTATCTGCTTATGTTGCTATAGATGGCAGCACAAGTGGACAGCTGAAGCGCTGAGGTGCCACATGCTAACAGGAAAGCCTCAGTGAAACCCAACGGTCGTGGCTGTAACTAGCCACTCACCAGGATAAGAGGCCACTTTGCCCTGTCCAGGCCACTGAGATCCAGGTGGAACCACGACATGTGGGAAGGACTTGATTAACTATGAAGCATGCTATGGAGATGAGAATATATCCATCTTCCAGAAACTTCCACAGAAAGATCTCACACTTAGTAGGCACTCAGATGTTTGCTAGAGGAAGCAGTTAGTTAGAGGATTGGGAGTAAGAACCATGAGGTATGATTTAGTCTAAGTTTATTCATAAAACAACCAACATCAACAAAGTCATTCCCTGGGTGGAAGGGACTCCATTAGGAGTTTTTTGGTATATTTACAAATATCAAAAACGATCCTTGCCAACAATACCTGTTTTTCTGGGAGGTGAAAAGGTCTCAGGCCAAGTAATCTGGGGTTGAATCAAAATGAAATGTTACACTAGTTTTTGTTTGGAAGCCTACCCAGTCTATCTCACAACTCCCACACTACCAAAATTATACATGCACATTCAACATGGTGATTTCTGCCCGGCTGCTTTTTTAAAAACCCAGCTGTCACTCCTTGTTAGGGTTACATTCTGACCCCAGAGCAAAGGAGGCACATATTCCTGCCCCTGTCCTGCCTGCTTGTCTCCTAGGGGGCTCCCACCAGAACCCCTTCTTCCTTTCTGCCATTTCCCGGGCAGAGATAAAAATGAAAACAGAGCCCAGGGAAATGGAAACTAGAGGGTGCATTTCTCAATGAAACTGTATATTCTGCAAGGGAAAGAACTGGGTTTTTTTCTATCAAATTGGCATTGTTTACAAACACACTCGTGTCCCCCACAGTTAAGGTGCATTCCTGCCAACTTCCCGTCCCCACCAATGGTGAGAGGTCGGGGTGGCGGCTGCCCAGTCATCTGTGGTCAACCCTGTAACTTAGGAGCCTCTCACTCTCTCTACACTTCCAAAAAGGAAATTATCTGCTTATGTTGCTATAGATGGCAGCACAAGTGGACAGCTGAAGCGCTGAGGTGCCACATGCTAACAGGAAAGCCTCAGTGAAACCCAACGGTCGTGGCTGTAACTAGCCACTCACCAGGATAAGTTCATTTACCAACAAAGCTAATGCTTTAACATAATTAATATACATGTCAAATATTAAATAAATTATCAACATCTACATCAGCATCCTTGCTTTTTAACATTTAAATTTTTCCATTTATGGATGATTTCAAAGTCTGATGACATACGGTGATTTTTTTTAAGAACTTGTTTTGTGCGTTATAAAAATAATACATAATAAAAATAATGTGTTACAGAAAGTTTGGAAAATACAAAGAAAGTTATCAAAGTTTATTAGAATCACCCTTAAGCCCACTGTCCAGAAATACACTGTATATATATATACATATACTGTATTTCCTTCCAGTCTTTTTTCTGTGGACATGTGTGTGTGGTGTACATGTACCGATGTGTTTTACGGCTTGCTCTGACACATCATAACTTTCTGAGGCCTGAATTTCAATCCCACCCCTGGGAGGTCGAGTATGAAGTCCAGCCTGGCCGCCCGGAGTCTACGCCTCTGCAGAGACGCATGGTAATGCTTATGCGATCACATGTGCCTAGATTTTACAGCAGAAATCACACGCTACTGTCATGTTTAGGTGTCAGTGAAGGTCTCAGAATACATCCCTACCAAAAACCAAGGGTGGACTGTATTCTGGGTGAGTGTTTTTTCCTACTTGGGTCACCATGCTATTCTTTTCCATTTACAGTATGGCAACATGGAAACACATAGGTGCCTCATAAATCTTCTGTGCTATTTGCTATAAAGAGCGAGTGTCTAGGCACGAAACTGTATAAACACAGCTGGTATGCAGTAAAACTATTTAGATAACTAGCGTGTTTATTTTGTTCTTTCATATTCCATCCTATAATAGTACCTAGTACACAGTAAATGTTTAACGAAGTTGATTATTATTAACTGCGACACTGAAATAATTTCCACAGACCCAAAAGAAAGTGCCAACTATATAATGGAAAACTACTAAATTATACTATGTGAAACTGATGTAGAGAGAAAAAAAAACTTCTATCTCTGAAGGACTTCATAGTTCCAGGGTCTGTCCACCGGGCAGCCTGGCTCAGCTGCGACACCGTGTGGTGAGAGGTCCCTGATTCCAGACAGCAGAGGATTTGACGGGAAGCAGGAAGCAGAGAGCCAGTGCAGGCCTCAAAGTCCATAAGACAGGGGGTGAACTTAAGGACGGATACAACACACGCCAGGATGCCAGGAGGCCAAGATCCTCTTCATGTAACTTAGTCCCATGAGGCTCAATGAGATCTATTAAGGAGGCAGCAGGAAAGAAACCCAAATAGAAAGTACAACCCACTTCTATTCCCAATCTGTCATCTGCATGTGTAACACTGAGCCACCAGAGCAGTGACTGGAAGGCTCCCAAAAGGCCTCTGTCTCGGCATCAGGGAAAGAGCAGGAGTGTCGGCCCAGCTCCCCCAGCAAGACCACCACACTGAGTACCTACCTGCCTTCATCACACCGACAAACACACATTTAGAGAATTTGTATTAAGGAAAACACACTCAAACACTGAATTCTTACATTTCCTACAGCAGATTCAAGGTCTTCTAGAAGGAGTTCATAAACACTAAGAAATGAGGATATCCACAATCATACAATCCCTGGGGTCCCAAAGTAACATGGAATTCAGAGAAGCAGCTGGGAGAAAACAGTAGTCCACGATCTAGACACCCAAGATCGACCACCAAATGGAGGGCCCAAAGGGAGACGTGAGCATTTCTGGAAATGACCCTTTCCCAAAGTGATTATGTAATCAGGGGTTTGGTAGGCTTGGAGTCTGTGCGGACTGTTTGTCTGCATGTATATAGAAAAAATATTTGCTGTAATCTTGTTCAAGCATTTCATTCCCATGGTCTGTGAACAGGGGTTAGCAAAAATCATTACGGGAAAATGTATATTCCTCCCAACCCCCCAGCAGTTTAAAGACCAAGAGGACAAAAATACAAAGGACTACTGTGTATGTTAACATAAGCAGGCACGCAATACAAAGCCTTAGGTATTTCAGGTTATGCCCATCCCAAAGGAGGAGCCTAGAGGTCAAAACCTCTGCTCACAGAATAACCTGGAATCACTCTTTCCTCTCCGTTGCTACATCCAAGAGCCAAGAGATGCCAATCCCAAGACGAGCATGGTGAGAGGATCTCCTGGGAAAGGTCAGAGAGCACTGCTAAGGGCACGCCTGGGTATACCTCACTCCCCAACGCAGAGCCAGCAGGCACCTTCTCACGTGTTCAGCCTCGGCCCTCCACGCTCAGGAAAGGAGGGAAACAGAAGGCCTAAGACAGTGACAGCCATGTCTCCCCCGGACAAGAAAGCCTTACCCACGTGGCTCTGTCCCTTCCCTCCAACGTGGGAGATCTAAAGGTGGGTCATCTATAAGAGCTGACACTCTTGAGGACAGGTTTTATTTTGATTATTTTACTTTTTATAAGTCACAAGATATATGCTATTCTGTTCATTGAACACAAAAAACAGACATGTCATGGAGCTCTGAGATCCTGAAATGCAGGCACAAACAGAAGTCATACCAGAAATTCCCAAGGGCACCCATTTAAAAGAGTTCAGACTGGCTAAGAACTGTGTAATGAAAATGCAAAAAAAGAATGTTTTAAAGGAAAAATAGTCATCCATTGCAATATTATTTTTAGAACTAAAAACAATACCTGCAGTCTTTTTAGACTAGTCACCAGGCATTTGTAAGGCACATTATATACTTGGAACTTATTCAGATTCTCAATAATCTAATCACAATAACATTAATATTAATAATGTGCTATCTTTTAAATACAATTTACACAGAACTTACACATACATTATTTCAATCAGTCCCCAAATAATCCTGCAAGAATCCAAATCTTAAATGTTCTTCGATTTTCTATCTTCTCCAAGTAATCACACCCACCCAGATAGCTCTCAGTTCTGCACCCACTGACAACTAAGTTCTTGCCAAGGGACAAAGCGTAACCCAAAACAGAGTTCCTCCTCTCTTAAAAAAAGAGGGTAGGAGGTTTTCATTTGTTCTTTTCAAGGGAAAGCAGGTAAGTTTGATGTTTAGAGTTACCTGAACTATTGGGTATTTGCTGACACTGCATGGTTACACCACTGAACACATAAATGCCCCTACTGAGGGGAGAAAAGAGCAAGAGACCCACAACAGAATTTGCCACAATTACTAAGAATTTGACAGCTTGAAAAAGCAGAGAGATTAGCAAGACACACACCTGGAGAATCTGGCAACCTGCCTGAACCAGGTAACGAACAACCACAGGCATCAAATGCAGACAGAAGGCCAGGAAAATTCCTGAATACATTCCCAACTGCACAGGAATTTTCCTTTTAAATACAACCAAGACACAAACTGAAACTCAGAGCCCCTTTTGCCACAAGATGGCAGACATCAGCACAAATGAAACAAAACTTGTGACTTCCCCACCCAAATATTTACTGAAAAAGGCTCAAGGCAAAACAAACCTTTTAAATCCCAAATGGATGAATTATGGCTTCCAGATACACTCCTGACACATAAAACAGGGACCCTGTCTTCCCCAAAGTGGAAAGGCCATAATGTGAACTCCTTAGCACCTTCTAAATTCTGAACAGGCTTCTCTCCCTCCCTGACATACAAACACCAAAAATATAAACCATACTTGGACATCTTTAAGGTTTCTAAACCTGAAGTCAAAATAGAAAGAGAAAATGAAAACAGAACTCAAAATCGAAACCCACTGCAAGGGAACCACTGAGGAAAAGGGGTCATGATTTTGAAGGGCACCTGACGCTGAGCACACACTCACCTCAGCGGATGACAGTAAGTAAAGAGGCGTCAGGGCAGGACCTTGTCTGATGTCACACCTGAGGCCAAGGGTTGTCAGGATCTCCTTCAGGACTTCGTATCTTCTGATATTGCTTGATTTGAGCAGGTTAAAGTCCTCCGGAGTTTGCACTACGCAAGAGCTGGGAGGTAGTTCTAAGTGTACCTGAGGGGAGCAGATAACACTTTATAAATCTGGCGGCATGTAGTGATGTCAAGAAAACCTGCCATTACCAGTTTTTCTGAAAATTTGAACATGAATCCTTCTAGTTATCAACAGCATATAAATGGTGAATCTGAATATTTGGAAAGTAAAAACAAGCAATAAAAAAGATTTACAAATTGATTAAAATTGTGGCTGTCAGGCTGAGAGGCCAGGGGGGAATACTCTGGATAACAATCAAACTTTCAGGGCCCCACTTTTATCACTAGCCAGGCATGAGACCTTGGGCAAGTCACTTGAGTGTATGAACATAAGACTTGGAAACGTGGTTGTGCTGAGAACCCAGGTGAAGTTGCTACTCAGCTCTGGGAGGTGCAGTGAAACTCCCATTCTACCTACTACTCCCAACCGCTGGGACAAAACACCACGAGGAAGGGAGCTTAGACACCATTTTACGAGTGTTTGCAGGAATTTAAATAGATGGAATGGGGTGGGAGGTACCCTAGAAAGGCCTGCCCCACCACCCTCCTTCACCTGATTGAATTTTAAGATTTGGAACTTCATGTTCAGGCTCTGCAGTCCAGGTAAAATTAAAATAGCTCCACCTATCAATGAATGGTCTGTGACCTGGTCAGAAAGAAGATATTAGAACTTCTAGTCCCTTGAGCTAGAACTTTCCTATCACTGGTGTATGTATCTTGGTATAAAGGAATATACTAGAACTTCAGGCTCTCTTGAGATCAGATTTTAACTGGGCATGGAGCCAGGGGTGTCGGAGTACTGAGAACCCTGAAGAATAAACTGAGCGTGTTGGCTTTATTCTATTTTGCTTTGCCAGGAGTCAGCTGTGCGCTTCTGTTGTACACAGAGCTCCAGACCTGATGTTACAAGAGCAATATGAAAATTAAAAGCCTGGTGCCAGCCTGCACCCAACTTAAAATCTCCCAAGTCCTACCCAAGCCTTAACTAAGCCAGATACACTGTCCGGATACACTGTTTGAAACGGTCCAATTGTTCAAAGTTGAGGCCAGTGTGCGAAGAGCTCGAGCACACTGTCCCAATGGCCCCACAGCCCAGTGAGTCAGCTGGGGGCTGCCTGCTTCCCCCACACAGAGCCGGTCAGCCAGGAGCAGGCGGACCTGTCCTCTGAACTCCCCTGGAGAGGCTGAAAAGTGGGAGGGTAGGGGGATGCTACTGGCATCGAGTGGGCAGCACTGCTAATATGCTGCAATGCACAGGATGACCCCACAACAAAGGGTCTGGCCCAAAATGTCACAGTGCCCTGGCTGAGGAACTCTGCTATAAAAGCAGAACCACTCCTGTCATGTGCTAGGCCAAATAAGAAAATAGAATACTTTTAAATCCATTTTAAAGACTTTCTTTGGACAACTTCATGCCAAACTGCTGGTCCTTTTGATAATCAAACGTGAGCATTAATCTGTAGCCTTAAATCTTGCCTGCAAACATGACCAGCACAGCAAGTAACCAGTTTCCTTTCTCATTCTTAGGATGAATGGCCACAGCGTCAACATGCAGCTCCTCCGCCGTGAGACCACCGCCTACTGTGCAGCTGTGCCCTTGAAGCACTCTGCCGCCTCTTACTGGGTTACATGGTGATTCCATTTATTACAAAGACTAAGACTATGAAATTGAACAGGGAGAGAGGAAACTAACCAGCCTGTAATAATATTTATTGGTTGGTCTCAGCAGCAAAGTATCAGAGTAACACAGGCCTGAGGAGAAAACAGTGACCCTGAAACACAGATACTGGAAGACATTTAAAAACAAAAATGACATTCTAATCCCCTGAATCTGATTTTTGAAGCTGCATCATATTGCCTTTTTTCCTAGGGCAATGCATGCAGTATCAAATTTTATGACAGTAATGGGGTCGACTGAAATGGTGCAGCAAGCAGATTTGCTCTGTCACTCAGAGAAATAAATTGCAACAGTGGCAAATCAATTTTCTAGTATACAAGTCTGTGCACAGGGGTGGTAAAATTCACTATTCGAAATTGAAATACAGCTCTAGGAAGTCAAGTTTTTAAGTGGATTTTCTGCAAATGCACAGTGACTGTACTTATCATATTTTCAGAGAAAAAGTTAAGAGGAACATTTATTAGGGCCTCCAAAAACTAGCTCACGTGGTTTGCAGCCTACATGAAACTTCTTTGGGGTGTGCACGTCCACCTGCCCAGATGCCCAGATTTCTTAATTATATGCATCTTCGCCTGAGTGTTTATCTTTAAAACAAATGAATGGGCTTTAAATAGTACCAAAGCAATTCTATAACCCCTTGAGGAATGTTTGGTCAGAAAACCCAAGAAATTTAGCTTCTAGGAGGGCTGGAAAGAGGCAGAGCACATGAAATGAAAACAGAACACAATGAAAGGAAACTGCTCTTAAGTCAATAAAGAAATCCCTATCATAAAACAAAAGCTGTTACACTCATCCTGGGAACTATTCTGGGAAAAATAGCTACATCTACTTAGTTTTCTCATTAGATCATCACATCCTTAAGGACCAGTGATCACAGAACTCCAGCAAAAACTTTTGCCCTAAGGCATTAAAACAGTTGCAGGAAATGACCAAGAATTCTCAAATAGTCTGTTCTGGTACCATTTGCTTAAATCAACAAAAAGTGGGCACGAAAATAAAGTGGGGAAAAAAGCAGCAGATGAGCCAAAGGGCCCCTTAAGGATGGGAAGGGAGGTGGCACTTCCCTTTCAGCTCTGTTTCTATTGTCTCCTTACCTACATATTAATATGCCATAAATCTTAAACACTTCACGATTTTTCTTATTTGAAATTTCTCTCAGCACTTCGATTTAAAAAAATAACAAAAGGAATCAAGGATTTGAAGATGTTTTCAACAACCACCACCCCAACAGTTGGTGAGCATTCACACAAATCCCTGACATCAACCATAATATTTTACTGTGATGGTTATTAACATCTGGAATCACCACCCCAAAGCACGAAACTCCTGTGTTTAATAAAGGCTTGACCGTACTGACCAGTGTGCTCTGAGGGGAGAGGGGACTGATGTGTTTTAGAAAGATTATTTACCAGTACAGAGCAAAACAAGAAAGGATTTTCTGACTAATCCTCAGTGTAATCAGCCAGAACACCTTCTGCTTCATTCCTCCCTCTCAAGTATTTTGGTGAAACAGGATATTCATGCAACAGGAAAGCCCTGATCAGAAGCCCTGATCTACTTAACACCAGCAAAAACTCCCTGCCGCACAGACTCCTGAACCTTTCAGTGTACAGCCTCGAAGAACATGCTCCCCATCAAAGACGCCCAGAGATCGTTACATGATGCCACGCCCATACATACCTGGCAAAGGACAGCTTCTCCTCCACATGCTCCAAAAGGCACTTGCATGATCAGCCTGTCCTCGTCCTCATTCTCCAGGTGGCCCCGGAGCTTGCCCAGGCTGAGCTGCTCCCCAGGGCCCTCCTCATACACGCAGCCACTGCTCAGGGCGCTGAGCTTCACCTGGCTCTGGTCAGCCTTGTAGAAAACCAAGTTCTGGACTGTCTCCTGCAGCGCACCTTTGCTTGTCACCTGGAAGCCAGCAAATGTGAAGGACGATGACAGGCCCAATACCTTCCCTCCCTGAGAAAGATAGGCCATGAACTTCTGGGACAGGTCTTCAGGAATAGACTCCCTGGTGGCAATGACCAACAGCAGACAGTTGTCTGGCCATGGGTCTCTAAGGGCACTTTCACCCCGCAGGTGGTAGAGAGTGTAGCTGTCGGTGTCCACACAGTCAGCCAGAACCGACCGGACCTGCTGGAACCTGCCCTGGGCTTCCTGGGAGTCAGAGCCCACATAGAAGAGGATGTTGGGTGCCTTTCCCGTAATGTTGACTCTCCTCCCCTCTCTCTCAGTGCAGATGTCATCAGCAATGCCCTCCAAACTGCTGCTGTAATCATAGGGGAGATCTGGAATGTTCTCTGCAGATGCAAACTTGACAGATTCAATGGTGCTGTTCTCAAGCTCCAAACACTCATGGCAACTGGACAGATGGAGGTGACAGAGCTCGATGGAGCCCACTCCTCTGTCACTGTCCCCAGCAGGCCTGCTCCCAGAGGCAATGTCCTTCCCTGGCATGGGGTCTGCCCCAGGAAGCCCTGGGCCATCTTTGCCAGTGTGCTCCATAACGGCTGGCTCAGGCTGACTCTTTGCAGAAGACTCAGGGTTCAGCTGCAGAATCTGGGCTTGCTTGTCTGAGGTCTGAACCTTAAGTCCCTTCAGAGCAGAGTCTTGCAAGTGCACCGCTAAAACATGAACAGAAAAGACAATCATCCAACTCTTCTGGTTTGTCGTGCAGCTCAGTTCAAAACCTCATGGCACTCTCTGTGCTCCATAACTTCTATCCCAGAGCAGCCTGCTGGCACAGCTCCCACTCACATCCCCAACTCGACTCTGCAGCGTCCTTTGGAGCCACATCATTCCTCCCACCTGCTAGGAGAGTGCCCTGGACAATCTCAAGTGAAATCCTCAGTTTTCACAACACATTTCCCTTATGAACCAGAAAACATCAGATCCCCTTACTGGCTGACAAAGAAAGTGAGATTCAGAGAGGTGATTTTTGCCTACTTGTTTACAGATTCAATTTATTGGCTGTCAACCCCCTATATGATCATGAAACTAAGAAACAAAAAAAGCACGTATCTACAGTGTATCCAAGCACACCCAAGAACAAAGATGCTCTCAAGACACTTCATAGGATCAATCAGGGAAAAGCATGTTTCCAGTATTTTCTCAGGACTGGAATATAAGTATATAATCACTGATTCAGAAAACATTTCCTGAGCACTTGTTACGTGTCTGACATGATATTAGGCATAGGCACATGGCAAATGGGGAAATTAAGTGATTTACACAAATTTCCATAGCTGGCAACACTTATTTGCTCAAGATACAAATGAAGACTTTCATGGACATAGAAAGCCTGCTTGTAAGCCTAATTAAGAATATTTTGCATGTTTCCTGAAAAAAGATGTGTCCCACAATATTGTGGTATATATATTTTAAGTAAAAAAACTGTTAGATTTAGAACTTCAGAGTAGTGCTAACTATGCCTTCCATTCAATCACACTATAGTCTAGATACTAGATATACAGGATTACATTGTGTGAAATAAGTATATGGATTTTAAATCTGCATGCCATCTCATGGACATTGCAATTATGGGGAATCCTGGTTCAAGAATTTAAAAAGCACTAACAATATACTAAGGGATAAGCCCCTCAGAAAAAACTGACACATGTATGAATTTTATACTATTACGGTTATATTCAACTTATGGATGGAGTTAAACTGAAAATAAGCATTACCCTGAAGTCATACCAAATAAGAGTGGTCAACAGTCCTTAAGCCAATAATGTATGGCATCATGCTATGATGAAAACATTCTTTAAAGTTACTTACAAACAATCTTTTGGGGTATCAGCCCATTAGCCATCCGGAGTCTATCTTCCATGAATGCCACCCCCAGCTTACTGAAGTTGTCCACACTTGCTTTAGCAATTAATTGATAAGGATCCCCAGGTCTGCAAGCTAATGGCAAACAGCAGTCTGACCACTTCACAATCTAAGAAAATGGTGGATAAGGGAGGAGGAAGAAAAACAAAAAGTAAGATTTTTCTTCTCTAAAATAACCAGATTCTTTATTTTTCCCTGCAGCTCCCCACCTCTAAGCTATAATCAAACATAATGAGTTACTGGATATCACATCTTATTAACATCTAAATTGTTCTGGCTCAAACATTCTCATTTCTGCCTCACCATAGGGCTTCAAAGCACTAAATAAAACCCTCTCATTTAAAAGTAATGAAAGTCTCAACTGTTTTTTAAGGAACTTGAAGGAGGAGGGTCATTCCCCGGATACTGGAAAAACACCAACTTGCCCTTCAGGAGCAGGAAATAGGAGAAAACAACAATTCCACAGTAGCCAGTGATTTATAACGTAACCTGTAGACCAGCTTTTCTCTACGTGGAGCCCAAGACCAATTGTAACAGAGCTCCCGTGAAGCAGGGGAAATCTGCAGGTCCTCGTCGCAGCTCTCTACCAGGTATTTCAGACTGGCGTTGCAGCCCAGAAACAGAAGTTTAAACACCCTTCCTCACTGATTCCTGAAACCTACGGGCTGTCAGGACATTCCAGGGAGCTCCAGCTTGTCCCAGTTCACATTTTCACCACAAGGGGGCAGGGAAAATGAGCACAGACAAAACAGTCCTTCAGGGCTTCCAATTTTTACAAAAGAATCTGAAACTGGGACAAGGAGAAGGGGTGCTTCCTGAACCTGGCTCTGGGATCTAAGGACCTGGTGTGGGTCACACTCAGCTACTCATGCTGTGTGTCCTTTGGCAAGCCTCAGAACGTCTCAAGCCTCAGCTTTCTCATTTGTAAAACAAGAATAACAATTATGTATATATCATCTCCCAGGTTTGTTGGGTTAATAAGATTAAAGAATATATGCAATGCCCCCAGTAGAAAGCTTGGGACAAAAAGTGCTCAATGAACAAAGGCCACTATTATTAGCTATTGCATATCTGGCTTTAAAAGCAATAGTGAATAGAATGGTCATTTTTTAATGATGCATGAATAATTTCCCAAAGTAAATATTCTAGAGAAAAACTTCTCCAAATTTCACAATTGGGGATATATAATTTTGAATTCTGTATTGGTAGACTAAGTATCTAGAACTAACTCTCACTGAAAACAATGAAAAAAATATTGGATAATATAAATTAAAACATCTTCTTAAAAGCACTAAAGAACTTCCAGGCCAGATGCGGGCATACATCTTGACACTACAGAGGTAAAGGAAATTTCCACAAGCCATTTCTGCACTGAGGGCAATATGTTCATCCAGGAAACTTGGGTTCAAGTTAAGGCCTAACTGGCATAAGGACAGACATATAGATCAATGGACTAGAACTGAGAGTATAGAAATAAACATACACATTCACAGAAAATTGATTTTGGACATGGTTACCAAGACAATTCATTGGAGAAAGAAGAATCTTTTCAAGAAATGGTGCTGGTTCAACAGATGTCCACATGCAAAAGAATGAAGATGGACCCCTACCTTATACCATGTATACCAATCCTCAATATAAGATTTAAAACTACAGAACTATTAGAAGAAAACAGGTGCAAATCATCATGACTTTGGACTGAGCAATGGTTTCTCAGAGAGGACACCAAAAGTACAAGCAAAAAAAAAAAAAATAGAAAAATTGGACTTCATCAAAATGTTTTGTGCTTCAAATACCACGTTCAAGAAAATGAAAAGACAATTCACAAAATGGGGAAAATATTTGCAGATCATGTATCTGATAAGAGACTTGTATACACATTACATAAAGAACTGCTACAACTTCAACACAAAAGGACAAGAACCCAATTTTAAAATGGGCAAAAGATTTGAACAGACATTTCTCCAAAGAAAATACACAAATGGCAATAAGCACTTGAAAAGATGCCCAACATCATTAGTCTTTAGGGAAACACAATCAAAACCACAATGAGATACATCACCTCTACTAGGATGGCTACAATCAAAAGGATGGACAATAATGAGTGTTGCTGGTGATGTTGAAGAATCGGAATGCTAATACATTGCTGATAGAAATGTAAAATAGTGTACCCTCTTTGGAAATAGTTTGACATTCCCTCAAAAATGTAAACATAGAGTTACAAAATGATCCAGCAATTCCATTCCTAGGTATGTACCTAAAAGAACAGGGAACATATGTCTACACACAAAACTTGCACACAGATGTTCACAGCAGCATCATTCGTAACAGCCAAAGAGGGAAACAACCCAAATGTCCATTAACAAATGAATGGATAAATAAAATGTGTATATCCATACAAGAAAATTTTATTCAACTATGAAAATATATTATGCTAAATGAAGGAAGCCCATAAGTACAGGTCACATACTACCTGATTCTGTTTATATGAAATCTCCAAAACAGACAAATCTATAGAGTTATGAAGTAAATGCGTGGTCGCCAGGCCAAGGACACGAAGAGTCGAGAGTGACTGCTAATGGGTGTATGGTTTCTTTGGGGGACGATGAAAACACTCTGGAACTAGATGGTGGTGATGACTGCACACTCCTGGATTGTAACTGTACACTCTAAAAGGATAAAGTATATGAACAGGTCTCAATTTTAAAAGAAAAAAGAAGAGTCGAGGCCGGTTGCTTGTTTCCACAATGTTCCATGACAGCCCAGATAAAAGAGCGCTTCCAAGGCCAACTTCTCAGACTTGACTCTGACTCCTCTGGCTAATAGCTGCGTGACCTGAGCAAGTCACTCAGTTTCTCTATGCTTGGGTTTCCTGCCTGCAAGGTGGAGATGTTAAGATATTATAACCCAGGAAGGTTATAGGGAGGGCTCAATGGGGTAATGCATAAAACACCTGGTCCACAGCGGGGCGCTCTTATTCCAAAACATGAGTCCTTAGAAAAAGTATCATCAAGGACCCTATCACCCCACAGTGGGCAAAAATGGGTTCTGGGGGACATGAAAAATATCTAGATACCACAATGGTTTGCGGTCCTCCAAGGCTAAACCCTACCCCACAAAATCTTATTCCTTCATGTTTCATTGCTCTCCTTAGGATTCAATTAGAATTAAGTTTTTCACCTTAGGGAGACAGTAATTTAAAAAGCTGAGAAACAATGTCATAAAGGGAACAATAATAAATGCAAATCTTTATGGTCTAAAGATTGAAACCCATTAATTTGTCTAGAATAAAAGAGAAACCTCAGGATTTTCTTTTCGTTACCTGTAGCCTACCCTCTGCTTTACCCCCTATTTCTCCCACCTCCTCAGAGACACACAGCCAGTTTCCCGGAGGACACGCCTGACTAAAGTTTCAGTAAGACTGCATTTCATATACGACAGTTCAGATCCAGCATGAGAGTGGAAGCGTGCAATTCAGACAAATATTTAGCTCACTTCCAGCTTTGAGAAGGGGGGAAAGATGTCACTCTGAAGGATGAGAAGATAAACTATCATCTTGGCAAGAGCTGACTTTTCAGATGAGGGTGAATGGCAAACACTAAAAGCATCTTTGTGCTCAGCACTGTCACTGGCAATCAAAGAATGAGGAGAAATGCTCAGCCAATGGAAACCCAGCCCAGAATTCACATGATTTAGCACCCTGCTGCAGCAAGCACTACTGTGGAGCTACGCCTCAAAAGTAAGCACTTAGTGTAAAAGGAGCCAATAATTACATTCTCACCTCTGGAGGAGGAAAGAAGCCGGAGAAAAACAAAGCAAGGGGAAAGGCAGGAAGCAGCCAGAGGACAATATACACACCCGTCCCTGATCAAGTTTCTCAGCTCAGACAGCTGTTTCCTCACCTAAGTGCATTTCCTTTTTCTAGGAACCTGGTTCCTGAGCCACAGACCATGCAAACCCCTCTGAAGCACTGCTCCGATCAAAGCAAAGCCTCCTGTCACTGATACTCATCCCGGGGGTGTTTGCTGTCCGGTGGCTAAAAGCAAACAGGGAGCTTCCAGTTTGTACTTCAGGATGGAAACAAAGGGGCAGAAAAGAAAGAGGAAGTCAAGCAAAAGGCTTACTCCCAAAGATCAAAGCCAAGGAAGCCTGGTCGGCCCAAACAAAGGGATTTCCTCTTCTAAGCAGCGTGCAGAAATCCCTTCCCTCCCCAAAGCTCCTGCCTTCAGGTTGCCGTGATTACAGCAGACAGTGATACATCGGCTCCACTGAACACGCACATCCACGGGAAGGCCCAGGACCAAAGGCAGTGGATTAAATTTGCAGGGGTGGCTCATCAGTGAATGTCCTTCCCAAGGCTGCCTGCAGCATGTAGTTGGCTGAAGCTCTGCAGCCAACCGGGACAGAGATCTCAACAACCAGTTAGGTGATGGTTAACTTTACGTGCCAGCTCGGCGAGGCCACAGGACCCAGACAGGTGGCCAAACATCAGTCCAGATGTGACCATGAAGATATTCTTTGATGTGATTAACATGAAGCAATCAGTAGACTTTGAGTAAAGCACAGGATCCTCCAGAACGCAGGTGAGCCTCATCTAATCAGTTGAAGGCCTTACAAGAAAAAGACTGAGGTCCGCAGGGAAGAAGCAGTCCTAACAACTGTCTTCAGACTCTTGAGCTGCAAGATCTACTCTTCCCTGGGTGTCCAGCCTGCTGGCCTGGCCTACCCTGTTGATTTTGGACTTGCCAGATGCCACAACCACATGAGCCAATTACTTAAAATAAAATTTTCTTCCTATCTGTGTATATACACATAAACATACACACACACACAGACACACACATGCTCACACATCCTATTGGTTGTTTCGCTGGAGAACCCAGACTAAAACAAGTTATAATCAGTGATCCAGAGTCAGATCACTGATGTTGCTAATTTTTCTGGCTTTTGTTCCTCTCATCCAAACCAATGTAATTGCTTGTTAGGTTTTTCAATTTTCTAGTAGTACACTGGATGGAGCACAAGACACACAGGTGTGAAGAATGTGAAACGATGAGAATAAGGGGCGATGCTATTTTCAGGTATCCTTGCTGTCTTTCAGGTTTGGGA